GAAAAGGAGAGAGAGATGGTAGTGCACTTCTAGCACTCCAGTGTGCTGCCGAAGATTACATGGTTGGCTTGTTTGAAGATTGCAACCTCTGTGCTTTGCACGCAAAGAGAGTTACAATTTTTACCTCTGACTTGAGGCTAGCACTACAGATCCGCGGTGATTGGGCCAAGTGGACATCCAAGCTCAAGAAGGTACTAAACGCTGCAAGCAGTAGGAATGCTAGGGTTGCAGCTGAGAAAGCTGCAAATGCTGCAAGGAAAGCAGGCATGAAAGCTGCCGCTGCTAGAGCCACGGAGAAAGCCCGCAGCAGGGCCAGGGCCACAGAGGAAGAGGAACATGCTGCTAGGGCCAGGGCCCAAGAGGAAGAGGAAGCCCAGGAGGAAGAGGAACAGGCCAAGGCAGCAGAGGCTGAAAAAAAGAGAGCTGAGGAGGAGGAAATGGAACTTGAAAGGAAAAGTGCCGCCCGTATGGAAAGGCTGGAGGCTTTGGAAAGGTCTAAAGCAAAGAAAGTTTAACACCCAGTTTAAGGGCACAGTATGTGTAGCATGTGTAGCGAACAAATTGGAAACCTAATATGTTAAAAGTGAATTTTAAAAGTGAACCAACTCATCTAGAGATCCAAATTCGATTAGTGTCCTTCCTGTGAAGGGTGCAACACTGTCGTAGCACTTCATTGCATCAAGCTTGCAAACTTGGAAATCATCCATCCATCCAACCCCAGTCAATGCGTCTAGCACAAATTTGAGGCAGTTATCTGTGTCTGGTTTCATACTTATAGTGTACTCTGTGCTATCAGATTGTGATGCTTGTAATAGCTTTCCCTTGGGTCTGGTTCTGTTTCCGTTGATAAACATGTTTTGTGGAGGCCTCTTATACAATCTCACCCTAACCCATACTGGACCTGCTGGTAAAATAGGTGGTTCGCCAATACCAATGCCAAGCTCACTCCTAGCTTCAGTGGCAAACTGTTTCATCTTTGCCTCAGATGGATTGTACGTCCATCGCTTGATAAAAGGGATTCCTTTGACTTTACCAGCTTTCTTTGTCGGTCCACACTGCATGGCATGGAACCTCGGGGATTGTTTTGGGACAATATCACCAGTCACAGTAAATTTGTAGCTGTCCACACCCTGTTGACTCTGGTGCTCTCCTTTTCCTTCCTCTCCATCCGAGGAATCTCTTAGGGTTGTTGACCGTCTACCATGTTGGCATCATCCTGCATCTGCTGCTTGTGAGACTTCTGCGGGATCTGGATCTGCTGTGAAATGGCAGTGTTCTGGATCTGCTGTGAAATGCAGTGTTCTGGGATCTGCTGACACCACAACAGAAAAATGGGGGACATTGCTACATGTGTCGTGTTGTGTGTAAGTAGGTTGGTTTGTTGTGTGTAAGTAGGTTGGTTTGGACCTTTGGCTAGTCCCGGCATCTCGGTTTGTTAGACAGCTGGTAGATCCCAGGATCAGCTTGGAACTGTTTCTACCCACACTCATGCCCTTGGGTTTCTGTTTCCACCCTGTCCTCTAATCGCTGTGGTCTGTTTCCACCCACACCCTTGACCCATTCTCAAGGGTGTGGGTGGTAACAGAGTTTATTCACTGTGCCAATTTCAGTACCAGCCACAGTACCACAGCCCCTACTCCCACGCAGCTGAGTCATGTAAAGGGAACTGAATCAGGCTGAAAACAACGTGCCGACTCTATTTGGGCAACGGTGCCTGTTACCCACAGTTTCATACCTATTACCAGTACCCCCATAACTTTCCTAGCTAGCTACCTACCTAATAAGATATCAATCAATGTTGTATGCTGACTGTTAATCCAATAAGTTTCTATTCTATCTAGACCCTCATGTTGTTGTCTTGTCATTGGAGCAAGACGATTGACTTACTTCCAACTGATCTGTTGCAGTCTTCCTCGAGGATTCAGGAGTTGTCATGTGCTTGGCTGGACCATCTTCGCCCAGCTTTTGCCACTCCTGGGGACTGCACAAATGGGTGAGCTTGTTGGGCTTCTTGCCCTTTGCTTTGTCATACTTATTTCTCTCACGCTTATAGTCGCTGTGCTGGAATTGTTGCGGTAGCTGATGGTGTTGTTGTTGCAGGGTGGCTTGGTGCAATCCGACAGGAAGCGCCACTGGTCACTTTGCGTTTTCTGGCGCTCACATAGATGGAACGGACAGGCAAACTTTAGGTGCACTTCATTCACTTGAGCATCAGAGGCTGGACCACCTTTCGCTCGCTTGAAATGAAGCAGAGTGTCGTACCGTCACCATGGGAAACGCAGAAGGTCACATTCCCGCCACTTGACTCACTCCTTGGGGTTGCCGAATGGGCACGGCCAACAGAAGAAACCTTCACTTCAGGTCCAGTAGGAGTGAATGGAGCAACTGGCTGAGATTTAAAGAATTTCCTTCCTTGCAGATCCCAACGGAAGGAGTGCGAAAAATGTAGTCTAACACTTCAGCCAATTCACTGTCCATGAGCTCTGGGCCTTAACCACGAAGTCCTGAAAGGCGTTCGAGCAGACCCTGGAGGCCTGAATGTCCTTGATTCCCATTGATGAGGTGGTTAGCCATGGCCTGGCTGATGTGAACAGCGGTAATGCTGTTCGTATCAGCTGAACTGCACTGGCTGATGCAAATCGTTTCAATACTTTGTTCTGTGACAGACTCGTATGACCACCCAGGACCATTGATAACATTCCGAACCTTGGTTTCCCATTCCCACATGTTTGCCGGAGTGGCATGAGTGGGAAGGGGGCACTTTTCGAGGACGCCACGAAGCAAAGCCTTTTGCTGAAGTACACTGTTCTCGTGCTGCATAACTTGGAGACGAACTAGAGCATCTCCTGCCCTGCCAGCAACGATTGAACTCACTTGGAGACTTGGACCACTTGGGGTGACCACGGTGTCAACGGGAATGAAGGCATCAGTGTGTCCGTGTACCCACTCCATAACATGACTGATTGGGGACAGATTCGTGTGAGTTGGTGGTGGCAGTGCTTCATACAGACTTGGGAGAAGATGAAGGATCTTGTAAGGACAGGAAGAAATTGTCTGGCAAACAGCGGAGAGACGACTTCTGTTGAAGTACACTGGTTCGTGTTGGAGTAGCTGAAGAAGAACCAGTGCATCTGTTGTTTCCTTGCCACTGGCGATGGAACTGACCTCCATACTTAGTCCGCTCGGAGCGATCACAGAGTGGACTGGTAGAAAGTCGTCAGTGTGGCAGTGAACGGAAGCAGTGCTGATGACATGACTGATGGAGGAGGACGTCTTGTCTGTCAGTTTCCCCCAATAATACACAACATCCAAAATCCTGTACTGAACTTGCAAGGAGTTGCCAAATACACGAACATCATCCACAAAGCAAGTTGCTTCATGCAGGCCATCAAAATTGGATGCCATGGCAAGTTGAGCAGCCAGGGGAGAACTTTGGATACCCATTGCCGGTACCGGTACCTGTACCTGTCATTCCGAAAATAAAAGTTGGTATCATGGAATGATGTTGTTGACTTACAACACCCTTGCAAGAATTTGGCATCATTGGTGGTTTCTTTCAAGTAGTCCACAAGAGCTTGCACTGCAGCATGACTCTTGTTGGGATTGTGTATTGAATGGGCAATCTCCGAGACAGTCATGGCGATGTCAGGCCTGGTAGTTAGTCTAAGATAGGCAAATGTTCCAACCAGTGACGGAAAAGATGTGGTCTCGAGCATCTCTGCAGGCCCATCCTGTTGGAGAGTTTCAAGCAATCTTTGGACCAGCCTGCTGGTCATTGTTGGTACTATGAATGCAACCGTCATGCAAATTTGTGACAAGCTAGCTAGTTAATGATCAAGCAAGGCTCCACTGCTGTAAACAGAGGCTTGTTAGATGTTAAAATGCGATGTTGTTGGTCTGCTGCTCGCGAAGCGCTCCTAGCTCCTAGCTAGCCACTATGACAGGAGGATAGCTAAAGCTAGACCACATGTACAGCGTACTAGTACTAGTTATAACTGTGTGCGAACTTTTAAAATACACTAAAGTAGCTTGCAATAGTGCGAAGTATTCTGGTTCAGTCGTATGTTCAGTCATGAGCATGACTCCCTTTTCTTGGCCCTTACGTCGTCCGTTTGGGCTTCTCGTGGCCTCATTTTCATTCGTTGCTCTTCTGTTTTCTTCCCGAACCGCTCTCGATCTCGGCGACAAACTTTCACAACCTCGACGACAATTTCCAC